TTTTTTTTTTTTTTTTTTTTTTTTTTTATCTAGCTTGTTCCTCATCTCTCTTCAGGGCATCTTCATCAGACCCCAGGCTCCAGCCACCTCTTAACAGTCTTACAGAACTGTTTGGCCTGGGGTTAGGTCCAGTGCAGACTCTCCAAAATGTGTTAATCTTCTTCTTTCTGTTGGTCTTATGGCCTGTCCATAACTCAGCTTTGTCTCAAAGCCCCTTTCATGGCTGTTTAGAGCAGCTTCCAGTAGCCAAAGGTGGTGTGTATCTCATGGAGTGCCGCGCTCCTGTGCATGTGTGTGTGAAGTCTCATGCATTATCTGCTCTGGTGGGCTATGAGCAGCCCGTGTTCAGGTCAGGAAGCTCACTGGCATCCTCTCTGCCTCCCCAAATGCCTAAGGGAGTCCTAGTCACAGCCATGGGGGTACTGAGGCCTCAGTCCAAGGAGACAGGAGTACAGGTACATTGTTCTTCTTTGTACTTCTCAAAAAGGATCAAGACTCTGCATGCTCAGATCATTGAGAAGGACGCCATGATCAAAGTCCTGCAGCAGCGCTCCCGGAAGGAGCCTGGTAAGACAGACCAGATCTCCTCAATGAGACCTGCCAAGTCGCTGATGTCCATATCGAATGCTGGCTCGGGCTTGCTGTCCCACTCGTCAACGCTGAGCAGCACTCCCATCCTGGAGGAGAAGAGGGAGGACAAGAGCTGGAAAGGCAGCCTAGGTAACTTTCAAATAACACCAGCAACTCGGATATGCAAGTCACTGCTTAGAGGGGAGACAGGAGCAGGAGCAGGAAGGTGGGGTGTCGGACACAGATCATCTGGCCTAGCATGAGGTTAAAGCTGACTGCAGGCACGATGGGACACATTTGGAACAACTGCTTGTTTTAATCACTTTTGGGAACTAGTGACTTCTGATGTCCAGGCTCTATCGTTAAAATATGTAAGCCCTTATTCCCAATTTGCTACCTGACTTCAGAGATATTTGAGAGATAGTTTGCAGAGTTCCCAAGCGCTTGCGTTCAGCTGCGTTGTTTCAGCTCTCTGAAGGTGTTAAGTCTCCTTGAATCAGGATTGCTGTCCTGTAGTGTTGTGCCTGCACTAACATAACTTTTGTCTAGAATGGCTCAACACCATTTTTCAGAGAGAACGAGTTGTAACAGAGCAAATCAGAGGTGATTTAATTTTTGGGGGGTAGTTAAGACCCTCCCTGTGAGACTAAAAGACCCTGAAATGTAAATGAGAATCTGTTGCAGCTGATTTCAGAGTGTGCAGATTTACCCTGCCATAGATGTGCTGCTGCTTAGAGACGGGGAAGTAAGGTGTTAGTGCCTGCTTGCGTATCTTGGCATGCAGCAGCACGAGGATACTGCTGTTCTTCAGGTGCTTCAGCACCCAGTGGTGAAAGGTGCGATAGAAAGGTAAAATAGTGCTGTCTGCTGAAGCACAGAGCTCTTTCAGATCCCAGAGCAAGTACCACAAAAGAGTGCAGAACCGATACCAATCAGTTTTCTGGGATTGTGAAATTTCCTCCCCTTTTTCCCTGAAGGTGTTCTGCTGGGAACAGAATATCGCTCCGAATCCATTCCCTCCACCCCCTCTCCTGTCCTTCCTTCCACACCGTTGCTGTCAGCCCACTCCAAAACAGGCAGCAGAGACTGCAGCACCCAGACTGACCGGGGAAACGAGCAGAGCAAAGCTGCATCTTCCACTGCAGCTCCTACACCAGGACGACTCCCCAGCACCAGCCTGGCCTACAGCACAGACAAAACAGGTAACGAAGCTCAGCGGTTCTCCCAGAGGGTTCCCTGCCACTGACTTGCCATCAGTTCTGCTCTGCGGGACAGGCCCTGTGGGACAGTTTTTCCATTCAGAAAAACTGGGTTTAGTTTTTGTGAGGACAGATGGGTTTCAGAGGGAAGCTTGACCATGATCTGAGGGATCTCAAACACTCTGAAGGGAAAAAAAGCCCTAAGAGCAGTGGCATGAGCATGGACACAGTGGATGGAGAGGTATAACGAGATTTAAGTTTTGGAGTAGGTATATGCAAAATCCAGGATAGTCTCTGAGTCAGTGTCTACTCTGAATTGTGAGTAGCATGTAGGGTTTAAACAGCATATGAAAATGGGCTGTACAAACTGGCCATTGCGTTTTAGTAGGTATTAAAGCAAGGTGTACTCAGATAAGGGGGTGGGAGAAGGAGGAAAGGTAACTATCATGATAAAGCTGTCTCGTTATTGTTCTGTCCCAGTCGCAGGACCGACTTTGGTGTTGGCACAAGTAGATCCAGTTGACAGTGACTGTCACAGAAGCTGCATTTGCTTCCCACAGAGCTCTGAGCTGGCAAGAGCTGCTCATTTTCCAGACCACTCTGCCAAATCAATGCAGATTACACAACCTTGCCTCTTTTACTTACAGACACATTACAATTATGTTGTTCTTTATGGAAGAGTGAATTTGGCTGGTCTGCTGTGCATCTTGCCCGTGCTATGCTATTTAATGGGTATCAAGGGAGACAGGGGAACAGGTTTTGTGGTGAAAGTCTACACTGACTACATTGGCTTAAATGCAGTCACTCCAGTTTTATACGCCCTTGTGTATCAGTGGGAGATACCCAAAGGGAATTTGATAAAATATCTTTATTTGTCTGCCTTACATACCTGAAGAATTGAATTTTTTTAAATGAAATTAGGAGTTGTTAGCTGTCTTTTGGCCAATGACAGAAGCTGACTTTTAAAATGTTAATGTCATTTTTCTAACCTCATTGAAGTTACACCTTTGATTGTCTGTCTCTTGTTTTTCTTCATCACGTAGATGGGCCACTCTTCCACTCCAGCACTCTTGAAAGAAAAGCTCCTGTTCAGACCATGGGGCAGGACCTCCCAGATGGAGAGATGGTAGAATACCTCATCTGAAAGGCTGTACGAGGATCTGAGCTGGCATGTAGTAGCAAGAAATTTTTAAAAGACATTTTTATTGGGGAAAAAATGTAGTACCTGAGTAATAAAAGAACACTCAGCTGTTTGCTCTTGTATATTATGTCTCAAAAGTATGGACAGGTTAATTTATAATTTGTTCTAAATTATAAAAACCCATAACACTTGTTCTTTGAAAGTTTCCCCCTTTATTTTTTAAATACTGGATCTGGTAACATCTGGAGAAAAAACAAGAACTTAGGTGCACTACATCTGGTGTTTCATTTCAGTATTTTCAAAGTCTCTTAAACACAAGTACCTACTCTCACAGCTGTTGGTTAAATGCCTAGCTTGAACGCAGTAAGATGGGCATAATGGCCTTACAATGATCAGCACCAGGGACTTAGTTGTGAGCATCCTTTAATGGTTTTAGAACAGAGGTGTTCTGAGAAGCTTTTAGAAATTTGAGCTGTGATCAAGGGAGATTTCCCTTTATGCTTTCTCTTTACACTCAATGTAAGAACTCAGAATAGGTATTTCACATTCATAGGCTGGAAAGATTTCCATGTTCAGTGTGGTAATGCTTTTTGGTTTTTTTTTTTACTTCCCTAATTGTCTTATTTCTTTATTAAAAAAAAATTACTTCGGTGATTAATGTCACATTTCACATTTTTAGTTTCATTGAAAGATTTGCCACACTTTTATACTTAAGTACTTTTTCAATAATTTATACAGTGGATAGTAAATAATATATTGCATTCATGTTTTACGTAAATTAAAAAAGGAGAGTTTACAGGCTCAATTCTGATCTGTTAGATCAGATTTCTGCCATTGTAATTCCACTGAATTTAGTGGAGCTACTCCAAATTTACCATAGTGCAAGTGGCAAGCCCTGTTGCTTTTCAGTGTTAGCAACTTAAATCTACTGCATCGGTCGAGATCTTGCTCCGTAGCAGAGTTTTCTATAGTTCAAATGCCCGTTTACTTTGTATGTCCCTCTTCTTCAGAAATACTAGATTTGTTTTCATATAGCAAAGCCTCAGAAGCAGAGCTTTAAAGAGGAGCTCTGTGTAAAGTTTCAGATGGCAAATTATCTCCTTCCAAAACATTATTTTTCTTCATCAAACTGGGGAGAGCAGCTTAAAGAAAGTCCCAGAGGCATTACGGAAGAAAGTTACACATTTAAGTCAGGTTCACTTTCAGATTTTTGGGAACTAGCACAGATGCAGCAATGCTTTGGTTGCAGATGCTATAGGGAGATACTAAGACCAACAGAAGTAAATGAGTATCTTTTTGTTACTGTTTTTGCATTTTATTAAAATACTTCAATATTAATTTCTGTTAAAAACTACTTTTTTTTTAATTGAATGTTAAAATATTTAATTAGCCAATGGTTCCATGTTGGGAATCTGGCTAATCCCAGCTTTCTGTGCAGCATTAGAGTAGCCAGTTTTTCATTTCAGCTCATTTCACCCCAGAAATAAGGAAAATCAGCAATTAATCATTGACCCCAGTGAGTGAATGGTCCTCAGTTCCTAGTTAGTTGACACTGCTGTTATGGTGTCCGATCGAAATGGCCTTACCAGACCAAGAGATGTAATGTGAGTTTCCCAGTGGAGGGTTGGGAGGTGAAAGGAGGTGCCTTCCATCTGCTGCACGGGTGACACAGTGGTGCCTAACGGGCAGCCATGAGTTGGATTCTGTTTGTCTTCTACTGATCATCACTTGAAAAACAAGGAAAACACTTCCCATCATTTCTAGCAGGTTTGCTGCTTGTTAGTGTTCTTCAGGCTGTATTGCTAGACCCACAGAAGTTAGAGCTGGCAAAATGCCTTGGATAAAATATGAACTCGGTCTGAATAGCCTGGCTTTACCAGCGACTGCTCTAACAGGCAGCACAAACTTCCTTCTATCACCACTACTTAAGATGCTTCAGAGCTGCACTTTAAGGCTGTGAATGTCTCTGCCGTATGGGACAGTGTCTTTCTGGACAGAGCAGTAGAACTTCCCCAAGTGTATTCTAATAATCTGTCTGAATTAGTTCTCCACCTTTTTCTAGACAAACTGTTCACAGCCTCGTCGTTCTCATCCCCGAGAATGTGTTACATTTATTTCTCTTGGCTTAATTCCAGCCCATTATATGAAGTAATGCCCACTCTGGATGATATGAAGTGATTTCTCTTCCTCCTCCACAGTTGTTGAAAATGCAGGAGAAGCTTTTCTGATTAGCTCAAGGTGTCCATCTTTCTGCTATTTCAGCATAATTTTTTATGTTGTATTTTGTGGTTTGAGCAGTATGAAAGAAGGTTTGCAGCTGTAGGGCTCTGGATAAACAGTTCCAACTTGCTTGATTCACGTTAATTCTAAAACGTCTAGGGAAATTTGGATCCTTTGCAGATAAAATCTGTTTTAGAAAACTGATTTTCCCCAATTGATGCTGGCTGTTCAGCTGGTCTAGGTAAAAATAATTTGTTTATCATCCTTGCAGCTCATTGTTTTCAAACTTAATGCCTTTGTAATCTATTTTTACAAAGAAAAAAGGACATAATAGCTTTCTGTGGATAAAATGCAGATTATGGACAGTAACCATCTCCTCCAAAAATGGAAGCTAGGTGGTCTCTGACAGTCCAAGGCATCAGGGTTGCAAGAGCCTTAGCAGTTCTATGCCCATGGAAGTAAATTTGGAAGAAGATGGTGCAGTTTTATATTGTTTAGGTCAGGTTCTTCACCCTATTTTGTAGCTCTTCCAAAAGTAGAACCCCCAAAACTTTTGCTTTTGACATGGAAGTTTGAGGTCATCTTCCCGCGCTGACAAACTAGGAGCCATCAGGAATGTATTGTTTTCCTTGAGCTTCCTCAGAGCCATCCTGATGTGAATGTAAAAGAGCTGCTTGCTTTGAGGAAGATGTGTACTATAGTCTTCAGTCTCTCTGTACAGATTTTTATTTTGTTTTTAAACAGGAACTGCTTTAAGGAGACAAACTGCACACCTAGTTCCTTTTCCTTCTGTAGAGCTTATTTCAAGTAGAAAGTGATTTTTAACACAATGATTGCAATGACCTTCTTTGCAAACCAAAATTTTAGACTAAGAGTTTTTCTTAAACTCGGGTATTAGAAGCAGAATTGTAGCTTTTATAAAGAAAGCCACATATTCTCCTTTGTAGAGCAAAACAAGAAAATCAAATTTAGTTATTTTTCCTCTTTCCTTTCACTGCTTACAAAATGGCCAAACTCACAAGTCCTTCCCTTGGGCAGTTCCTTTGAGATTTAATGGCTCGGGGAACTGCCTGAGATCTAGAGGCTTTTGTTCCCATCTGGCCCGATGTTATTCTGAACTTCAAATAGCTCCTACCTGGCAGCTCTTGTGGGGTCTGGAGCAGCAGTTTTCTGTGGTCTGAGGACTCATGGGGATCTGCGAGTTGCTCCCCAAGAGTCTGCAAAGGGTGGCCAAGGTCAGCAAGTAGTGTCCGGGGGCTGAAATTCTTTCTGTGTGGTCTCTGCCTCTGTTGTCAAGTTTGTAGAGTGAGAGGCTGAAAACAGGTATTAGCTTGCTTTGGTTTTGAGGTTGCCTGAGCAAGGGGACTTGCAGGATTTGAGGCCAGAACCATTTCCAAGGACACCTCCTGCTCCAGGAGCCCACACCGATGACCAGCAGTGCGTGAGACGTGTAACAACCGTGTCCCGTGAGCCGTGACACCCGTACAGTGAATCCCCACCACCGTGGCTGGACGATGTGCTTTTTCCATTGCTTATCCAGTGGTGGCAACATAACCTCGGGGCAGTCAGGACAAGCAAAACCCCAGGGGTGGTGTGGCTTTCTCTCCCTCCCCACGAGGGCTGGCACAGGTTGGCCCGGGATTCACTGTGCTTCTCCACGCCACGGCCAACGGGTTTGCTCCGTGGAAAGAGTGAGGGGCTGTGGGGTGGGGGGATCTCTTTTCATGTATTTGTATAGGAACTGTTTTTTAAAAGCTAGCATTTTTATGTCTAGAAAGTTAAAAGACATTGTAAAATGTAATTGTACTGTATTTATGAAGAAAATACATTTCTTTTCAAAAAGATCTTACTGTAAGTTGGTCTGACTTCCAACACCACCGTCTCGTAGGCTTTCAGAAGCATTGTAACCCCTCTGTTTTGCACCGTGCTGTGCAGCCATACCGTTAGGGCTGTGCTCAACTATGGAGGTTTAAGAAAAAGGCAACTCTCTGCCCTCCTAACTCGAGCAGAACCTGTGTGAGCTCTGAGTTCTGAAGTGTTTGAAGACTTGATTTCATTCAGCTTGGGCTGTGCTCAGGGTCAGAAGTGGAGATGCTGGAAGAACCGGAGAGCGGTCTGGAGCAATGTAGCTTCCAAGCCTTGCCTGTGGGCAGAGCTGGGAAATAGCTGCCCTTTAGCTTTGGCTGTGGAGCAGGACTCATCCCCGAGAGGTGTCACTCAGGACTCCTGTCCTGTCATTTGGGTCTCTTCCACTTGTAGAGGAGGAGCTCTGGGGGGCAAATGGCTTCAACCCCGTTTCCCTTTCAGCAGGCTTGTGGTCTAAAAGGTGAGAAATAAGTGACCAGTTAGCTGCTTCCTCTTTAGGGTCCAAAATATCAAAGCATACATTAAAGTACTAAAAGTTTGCCATTTCACAAACTTAGAACACGTGTCAAGAGAATGATCTTTTCTATATAAATCTATATTGAAGTGAATTGTGGATTATTTTTTCCTCTCTATTTAAGCCATCAAGTTTATTTTGTAATTTGTGACTGAGCTGTTTTGTAATTCAGCTGTTGAAACAGCCCTAAAGTCTTTGAAGATTATGGCAGCTTTAATTCTAGGAAAGAAAACAAAAAAGTAAGTGTAAATACGCACTAAGAGATCTTGTAAATGTCTATCGTTGTTTGTAGTTAGCTATAAAAATATTTTGTGTGTTTTTAAAGAATGGACCCTGTGTTTTCAATTTTTTCTACTGATTTGCTTGTTTTGCACTAAATTATCTTAGTATGAAAACCTTATTGATTCTAAAACAAAACCAATCTTCATCTTATGCAGTCCTTGCTGCTGCTTGGCCTATGTCTTTAAGTTTTCAATGCCTACCTGGAGATTTGCAAGATAAAATAATTGTCATTCCATCTCTTCCCTTGAGCATCACTTGTTATTTTATCCTCTGCCGGGCCCTGCAGCTGCACACAACTCGGCGCCTGCACACCTTCTCAATAATCAGATTAACAGCAATTCCTCACCCTAACTTTGAGCTGCGGTGGCAGTGCCAGCCACTCTCCTTTGGCAGCTGGACCGGTTTTCAGATGTCTAAGGGTAACAGCACGTGAGTGACCTGCAGTCATGTGAGTACTTTCCACATCACAGTCTTCAACAGACCAGTGTGCTTTTTGTTCATGTATTTCAGTGCGTTTCGTTGCCTCCGGTTTCTCTCTCCTCCCTCCTCACGCTGTCAGAGGGAGGGAGCAGAGATCACTGGTTGAAAGGGGTCAGCCTTGATGCGTTTCCACTGTTGACTTTTGAATTTGATCTTAACCTAGTTGTCACCTCCCCTGCTTGCCGGTGCTGTGATAAATACCAGCTTGATACATCTGGGGGCCAGTGGTCAGTTTAGCACATCCACCCCCTATCCCTTCAGCCTTTTGATGTTGTTTCTATAAATCTCTCTGGCATACCAGAGCAGAAACAAGGAGACAAAAAAAAAACCAAAAAACAGCCAGACACACACACACAAAAAAAAAAGCTACAGAGGCTTGCTAATAGCTGGATTAACAAACCAGCTGTGGCCCGGCTGCAAGCGGGTGTGAGGGGAGGGTTTGGACATTTCACAACGCCCCTGTTAGCACGAGGGCTGGTCAGTGTGGCTGGAGCCAAACACCCACATCAGGCAGCCTGCAAAGATCTGGCTGTGACTCTGGGGGGGTAATTTGGGTTTTCACATCCCTTACCTTTCCTGGAAGTGTGTTGACCAGTCCAGTTGCACATAACCATCTCCCAGAGGGTGTCCCTTCCAGCTTGCCGCTCTGCTGGATTCATCTGTTGGACACATGCGTGGTAAAGACATCTCCTTCAATCCCACCTTCTGCTCCTCACCCTGCCAAGATTTGGGGCTTGAAAGGGGAGAAAAAGATTAAAAGGTTGTTTGGGGTTGGGTTTTTTTTTTTCCTGTCAATTACCTCAGCCTTTAAATGAAAGAGTCCCTTTGCTCCAAAACCTGGCCAAATCCAACTTTGGGGAAACAGCTGACTGCTACCAACAGTCCTGCTGCTCCCAGGGGTGCTGGAAAGGAGTTAGAAGTTAAAACAGGTCCCAAATATTGCACTACCAGGTGTACAATTTTATTTATTGCAAAGCATTGCTTATCATTCCTTTTAAATAGCTATGAAGAAAAGCAAAATTCTATAATAATGCAGGATGTTTCTGGAGATGACTCTCTGCCTCCCCTTCCTGCTCCCCAAGACAAAATTTGAGCATTTTATATTCCGGAATATATATCACCTTTCTCTGAAATTTGTAAGAAAGAGTAATATAAAATGGCAGCAAAAGGCTGGCCTCATAAAGGTGCCTTTAAAGTGATATTTACATACGGTGACATGTTTGAATGAGACAATCCTCACTTTGTATCTTGGAGGTAAACTTTAGAGGAAAATTTTCATTGATCTCCTGCCAAAAGGAGCACTAACCTTTAAATAGAAGGCCTTTTTATATACATAAATACATACATACACGCATAAATACATACAATATATGAAAGCTGGTAATTCTGAGAACCTCATTGTTCAAGATGAAATTTTCTTTTCATCCCTAGTCATTTTCAAAACATAATCTGTCAGTTTTGGAACTTCATTATTTCTCTACCAGTCTGTTTTCTTTTGTTGCATTTTAGAACAGAAACATGATAAGAAAGAAACAGTTCTATCTGCAGCATTTCAGTTCTTTATTTCAGTATTTTGGGGGGGGGATGATTGCTTTTCCCTTACTGATGGCCAAAGCAGGAGAGGACAGGGCAGGACTTTGCCTCCTGCCGAAGGAGCATGTGGAGACAGGGCTATTGTGGCTGTTCTTGCACTGAGCACAACCTGGCTTCATCCCCGCTGCGCTGCCGTGCCCTCAGCAGGGTGCTGGGCAGCACCTGGCCTCTCTCCTCGTTAGGTTTCAGAGTTAACGGGGCTCACCTAGGCTGCTTTTGCGCTCTGCTCCAGGCCTCCCGCAGCGTCACTGCGAGCACCCAGCGCAGGCTGGGGCTGGACTACTTCCATTTGTTTCTCATTTCGAAAGGCGTCGCATTCATATCACAAGAGCTAGCATCAATTTTTATTAAATTACAGTTTTTGGAGGTTGGCAGGAGGAAGCCACACGCTGGGGCTGCCCGAGGCTGAGGCAGAGCCCTGCCAGCCGGCAATGATGCTACACGGCAGCAACCCCAAAGGCACCCAGCCCTTTCTGCACCTCCAAACTGCAGGATTTTTATTTCCTTTATTTGAAAGGCTTTGGGTTTTCTGTGAGCACCCCCCAGGGAGAGGCTGTGCCCGCTTTTGGGAGGGAAACGTTTCTGCTGGGTTCCCTGCTTGGGAAAGCTCTCGGCGTGACCACCAGCAGCTCCTGGGCTGGGTTTCTTCTCGCTGCCCGCCCAGCCCTGACCCCAGCCCTGGTGCTGTCTGCAGCAGAAGGAAGAGGAAACCATGAGCATTTTCTTCCTAGAGGCAACCAGCATCAAAGGGGCAGCCTCTGACCAGGGCTGTGCGGCTGCTGCATCTGGCACCCTGCGTGCTCCAGGAACGCTCCCTTCAGCCCATCCTGCTCTGGGAAAGGCTCAGAAAATGTGGTAGGTCGGTTGATGGGTTTTTTCCAGATAAACTTTCATCTTCATTCAACTCATTCCCATCCCTTTGCCTTCCCCACACAAAGCTGAAAGCTGTCCGGACCCTGGTATCGTCCTCAAGAGCTTCCCTAGTGGGAAATGCTTACCCTTTTGATTCATCTCCATGATTAAATCCTGAGTTGATGGAAAGACCCCAGCTCTGAGCAAGCGCAAGGGAGGTTGTGTTTGAGCATCTCTGCTGCTTTCCAACCTGCAGCAACGCATTCAGGGGCTAGTGGAGGCTGCTGGGTCTCCTTCTGATGGCTTAATCAGGCAGTGAAACAAAGTTTCCCGTCAGAAGTCATTTACAGAGCACAGGATTATGGTTTGCACAGGCTTTGGTATTTTAGATGCTGAATAGTTCCAGGAATGTCACTTCCAGGGGGGGAACAAAGCAGTTTCTGCCCCAGTGTGGGTCCCGTCTCCCCAGCCAGGCAAGCCCCGTGCTGGGACAGCTGAGAGGGCACCAGAGGCTTGGAAAAAGAGAAAACAGAAGGATTGGGAATTGCTTAATTAGAAACAGTTTTCTCCTTTAATGTTCCGCAATTACTTTGAGGTCAGTAGAATTATTAGTATTATTAATCACTGAATTTCCAGAGAACTAAAGTTAATGGTACCATAATTGGGGCATACCGTACAGCAGTAATTGCTAAGTGCCAGCAGGCAGCTAATTAAGTCTTCCAGCCCTTCTCTCTAGGCAGATCTTACTGCTTCTAAGTCTGCATCGTGGATAACTCAGCTGTGGAGGGTTAAAAGTTGGAGTTAGTGCACCAGCAGCTGCCCAGGCTGAGGCTTTCAAGGGCTGTGCCCACATTTCCGACCATGCCCATCACATCTCAGGCCACTTGCCTTCAGCTGGCCTCGGTGTGTGTCCCAAAGTGGGCAAGGAAAGGTGCTTTCTTGGTGATGTGTGAGGTCCTCCAGGTGGAGCTCGGCCAAGGTGCTGATGTTTTGGTCCAGGACAGGCTGGGAGAAAGCCGTTCTGCCCAGGTTTGTTGCTCAATGAGGTTGTTATCGCTCTGTCTGCAGGGAGCGAAAGGGGATTTAGGTAGTAAAGTATGGCCACGCTCTATAGTGAGGAAGGTGAAAGGCACCTTAAGGATAAGGAGTGAAGCACAGCGGGTTTCAGGGCTCTGAGCTAAGGGATTTCCCACTCTGTCATTTGAAGAGGGAGTTCCTTTTGGATTTGTTAACCCTTGGCAAGTCTCTTAGCAGTAG